GATTTGTAGGGGTCAAGCTCCTGTAATGATTCACATACTAACTCCTTCATCACTGATGGTGGGTCTATGTTTGGATCCTTCTGGATTTTTGTTCCCAACGCCTGGGATCCAACAGTGTTGGTAAAGACAGAGGTGAAGAAGGTGTTGAGAACCTCTGCCTTTTCAGTGTTGTTGGTGACTGATTCACCTCTGCTGTTTAACAGTGGGCCTATGTTTTCCTTCTGTTTCTGCTTGCAACTTACATACTGGAAGAACCCTTTCTTGTTATTTTTGATGTCTCTGGCCAGTTCCAATTCAAGTTGAGCTTTTGCCTTTCTAACTGCATCTCTGCACTCTGGCAATGCCCTTGTAGTTCTCAGTGGACAATCTTCCACTTCTTCATCTCTGGTATGCATCTCTTTTGGTTTTAAGCAGACCCAGGAGCTCGTGGTTGAGCCAAGGGGGCCCCTTGCTCTGCTTACTTGCTTTTCTTTTATAGGGGATAAACTGGTTTTGTGCTTCCAAGAGAGCATTCTTGAAGAACTCCCAGCACTCACTGGCTCCTTTATCCTCCATGGAAGCTTCCCACGAAATCCCTCCCAGCTGAGCTCTGAGCGAGCTGAAGTTTGCTCTTCTAAAATCTAGAACCCTTGTCTTGGTGCTAACCTTCAGCATGCTCAGCTGGATCCCGAACTCCACAATATTGTGATCACTGCAGCCAAGGTTGTTACTGACCGAGATATTACAAAGCAGGTTTTCTTGGTTTGTGAATAGCAGGTCCAGTAGCGCCTCCTTCCTGGTTGGCACATCTAACATTTGTAAGAGGAAACAGTCCTCTACGCATTCCAGGAACTTGATGGATGACATGCGAGCTGCTGTTTTGTTCTTCCAGCAAATGTCTGGGTAGTTGAAGTCACCCCTGAGAACCAGATTCTGTTGACCAGAAGCTTGCCTTAGTGTCCCAAATATTGCTTCGTCGGCTTTATCGTCGTGGTTTGGGGGTCAGTAGCAGATGCCCACTGTAAGGTCCTGCTTGGAGACGACCCCTCTGATTTTAACCCAGAGGCATTCAATAGAGCACTCACAATCCAATCACTTTAGTTGGCTTCGTTTGAGGTTTTCCTTAATATAGAGTGCGACTCCTCCACCTCTTTTTCCCTGCCTGTCTTTGTGAAACAGCCTGTAACCGTCCATCGCGATTCCCCAGTCATGTGAGTTGTCCCACCATGTCTCAGTTACTCCTATGATATCATAACCTTCTGTTAATAAATGTGTGTGAATATTTTGATTCTTCTAATCTAAATTAGTTTAAAGAGCAATAATAATAGAGTTAATCTTTTGGCGCCCAACGTTACCTACACCGCATTTCCTGTTACCAGAACAGAATTTGTTTTGATATATTAATGTAATTAATGTGATATCGCCTCTCTCTCTCTTTCTCTCTCTTTCTCTGTTTCCTTTTCTATTTTGTAACTACAACACATAGCATATAGAATGTATGCAACTATTATGATGCAAATATTACATGCATTGCTATGGTGTCTACATGTTCTACGTGTGGGCTGGAACTCCCTTGTGTCAATACATGCTACACAAGCACTTTTCACTGCCCCTTCCAGACTTAAACCCTAAGTAAAAACATAGACGTAGCACATAGAGGCAAACAGCTATTTGGAGAGGTCCTGAAAACAGTGGAACAACATTGGTCAGCTTGGTAGGCAGTGGTCTCCCTGTGCATTGCTACAGTTCTGTGATTAAAAAAAAATGTGCACAATGGACAAAAGGGTCTTGTTATCATGCACACATTGTTTTCAAATACAGTCTGGTTATACCTCTCTCAACCTACTGAATTCTGAGTCTGAGATACAGTTTACACGTACTCAATGTGCAGATTGCACATATTATAGATAAGATGGGAATAATTTCCCTGATATGATAACTTTCGGTCAAACATATCTATGTTGTGACTTCACTTAACATCAGTAGATACAGCAGGGTTTTAATCAGTCTGTTTTTTGCAACACTAACCTCACAATTCAATACTTAGTATTCATAATTTATAAAAATTAAAATTATATGCTTTGAGACTGCTTGTGAAACAGACATATGTATGTGAAATCATGTCAGTTGCGATACATGGTTGGGCAGGCTCTTGTCTGTAGAGTGGAGGATTTTGTTCCATACAGCTGCTGTTCTGTCTTAAAATTTATTTGACCAGGATAGTGCAGAAACACTAATTCTGTTCTCTTGCTTTTCTGCTGTATGCAGTCTTTTCTGTTGTTGATACTGACTCGTGCAGAATAGCTGTGGATTTTGTACCATTGAGAGTTCCTGAAACAACTGCTGAGAATTGGTAGAGAGTAGACTCTTCTTTTTCTTTTACTTCTACCTTTGTTGTTATACTGATCTCACCCCTCCATTTTATGCAAGCAGTTGGGAATGGAGCAAAAGAACAAATCTACTGGATTCTGAGAGGCAAATGCTCTTCAGGAGGAATTGCACTTCAGGAATTCCTCTTACAGCCAATATCCAGGCACTCTGGATCACAGGACAATGTGGTTTTCACATGCAGAAGGGTGGAAGGGAGCAGTGTAATATGTAGCATGTGTAATATGGAAGACGACAACCCAGCACAGAAACTGTAGGGACATAGAGTAATGGGCAGGTAGAAGCAGGCGTGTAATTGAGAACAAAAGGAAGTGTGAGGGGAATAATCAGAACACAGAAAAGAAAAAAAAAATAGAGGTGCCATTGTAGGGCCAACTAGATCTTAATTTCTGAAAATGGTCTCTTAGATGAGATCTCCTCATGTGAAGGATAAGTGTTGTTACAGAACTAATACAATAAGTGGGGGACAAGGTATACAAGATGAATGGGAAGGGGAACAGACCCATGTATGAGATGGTCTTTTTTGCAACACCTTTGTTGTTTACATTTAAAAGGTTTGTGAACTGGTCATAGAATCATAGAATCATTTAGGTTGAAAAAGACCTTTAAGGTCATCAAGTCCAACTGTTACCCTAGCACTGCCAAGTCCACCACTAAACTGTGTCCTTAAGCACTACATCTACCTGTCTTTTAAATACCTCCAGGGATGGGGACTCAACCACTTCCCTGAGCAGCCTGTTCCAGGGCCTGACAGCCCTTTCAGTGAAGAAGTTTTTCCTAACATCCAACCTAAACCTCCCCTGGTGCAACTTGAGGCTGTTTCCTCTTGTTCTATCACTTGTTACTTGGAGAAAAGACCAACCCCCACCTTGCTACAACCTCCTTTCAGGTAGTTGTAGAGAGCGATAAGGTCTCCCCTCAGCCTCCTCTTCTCCAGGCTAAACAGCCCCAGTTCTGTCAGCTGCTCCTCATACGACTTGGGCTCTAGACCCTTCACTGGCTTTGTTGCCCTTCTTTGGACATGCTCCAGCACCTCGATGTCCTTCTTGTAGTGAGGGGCCCAAAATTGAACACAATATTTGAGGTGCGGCCTCACCAATGCTGAGTACAGGGGAATAAGCACTTCCCTGGTCCTGCTGGCCACACTATTCCTGATACAAGCCAGGATGCCATTGGCCCTCTTGGCCACCTGGCCACACTGCTGCCTCATATTCAGCTGACTGTCCACCAGCACCCCCAGGTCCTTTTCTGCTGGGCAGCTCTCCAGCCACTCTTCCCCAAGCCTGTAGCATTGCATGGGGTTGTTGTGACCCAAGTGCAGGACCTGGCACTGAGCTGTGTTGAACCTCATACATTCTTGGTCTACCCACTAACCTTCTTTCATACTTGAAAAGTCAGAGGATCTTGAAACCCAGGCAGTGGAACCTGCGTTATTAGACTGACAAGTCCTGTCTTTAGTAACCTACGTTTTGTTCAACACCTTTGATTCTTTTGCACAGAAAGTACTCTGAGAAACACGAGCACAGTCTGACCACATCCGTAAGCTAAAATAGCACTCAGAAGAACAATAACTTGCTGTTTAATTCTCAGACCTCTTGGTAAGGACTCCAAAGGCTAAAGTATAGAGCAGCACAGTGAAGAAGTGGTTACCCACAGTAGTGGATAGCAGATGTGCTGGAAAATAGGGCTATTGTAATGGAATAGGTCTCGATTCCGCAAGCTACTTGATGATGTTCCTAAGCTCTTTCTGAATAGGGCCAAGCAGGGAAAGAACAGAGCTGAATTCTTTTATTGAAAGTTTTAGTGAGCACTGGAACTTGTAAACAATGGTTAAGTATTCCGCTTCATATTATTAAGTGTTTGTAGTCTACCCGGTTATGCATAAGATAGGAAAAGGCATATAGAACTGATGTACTTGCAGTCACAAAATAATATTAATGTATCTGGAATACCCTGAAGCTATATTCACTGAGTAGGGAGTAAGGGTCTTGAAACCTGTGAGTAAGTTAAATGGCAAGTCTCTATCATGTAACGCTTCAGGATGCATATGATAAGTAATTTGGAGAGGGATGGAAGCTAACACAGAAGTTGCTTTTTGCCTAAAAACAGGATAATTTCTGCCTAGATAAGCTATTCAGTTAGCAAGGTAATAACATTTGTAAATATCTAGCAGATGGAGAGTGGTTTAAAAATATGCATGAATCATGAATGATAATATCTATTTATGATTTTTTAAAAAATTTTTTTCTGAATATTTGGTGGCTTTCATCAACCCAGATTTGTAAAAATAATAGTTACAATGAAGCTGCAGAAGCACTGAACCTCAGGCAGTACTTCAAGACTACTATAGCTATTGTGGTTTCTGCAGAGTGTTTGTTGGGTAGTTGGCTAAACAGTTTGGTGACAGCGTATCTATTATACCAGTAGGGCTTGGCTACAGTCCTAGCCTTACAGATGTGGTTGGCAGCTCTGTTTTTTCCATTAGTATTTGAGCCACTTAAAGAAAAAGTGTCTTATGCTGTATCAGGATTATTATGTAGGCTCATAGTAGAAATGAAAAATTGAGATGATATTGTAAGTCTCTTTTACATTTGAGTTATCCTGATACTATTAGTTTCCATTACAAAAGTAGAAGTATACCTAAATCTGTAATTAATTAAAAAGTATTAAAATTCATCATAGTGCCATTTTTTAAAAATCTAAATTGAGGAACTTCCTATATCAGTTAATTTCTTTTTAAACAACCAGTCACTTTCTGTGGTCTGTGGATATTTGTATTTTAGATGTGTCCACCCTATGTTACAGGGTAGTTTTGAGTTACCCAAACTAATTTCATATGAAGTTATGTATGAAGTTTCAAGTATTCTGAGTACCTGAAACAAGCTAGCTGCACCAGTATTTAACTCAGCAAAGACTAAATTTCTTCTGCTGGGAACTATGGTATACTAGTTTGCATAGTACTACCAAGTCCACATTGCTCTTAAAACTTGGCTGTTAACCAGTATTAAAACGACTTTGTTTAAAGCTAACCCATACGTGTAGCCCGTACTGCCAGTCTGGTGTGGGTATATGCTTCCTGTCTGCCAGATACACAGCTTTGGGTGACAGAAACTTCTACTAACTGAATTCTCTACCATTTTTCCTCTTCTATTTGTCTTTTCTGCATTCAGACAACAGAGCTATAAAATGAGATACGCTCACTATCCCAGCTGCCACAGCTATTAAAGCAGGGAGATCAGGACCTTGCTGCATCCTTTAAGCAGGTTCAGTTTCAGAGATTGTTTGCTATGATGTCTTAACCTTATTTTTGTTTTAGTTCTTCTATTTTTTCCCCTTGTCTTGCTTTGCATTTCTTTGCTTTATTTTGACTATATAAGGTGCTCAGGGAATCTCAATCACAATATGCTGGTACCAAACACAAATCCAAGCTTCTGTGTTTTGCCCTATATTGGAGGTTCGTGAGCAGTTCCTTGGCCTGTGTCAAAGTATATTTGCTACAATTCCTTACTTTTAAAATTCCTTCAAAAGACTAGAAAGAAACAAAAAATTCTTCTTAAATTGCTTCCATTTTAATTTTAAATTCAATCCTTGTTATTAATATTTTTTGCACCCATGAAGAAACTCCAAATATCCTTTTTTTGTGCGTGTTGATCCTCATACATCCCCAAATACATAACAATATGAAACTTGCCAAATATCCCCACCCCTCCCAAGGAAAAAAAAAAAATTCATAAAAGAGGAATACAGGAATCCAGGAGGCTATTAGGTAGGAAAAGATCTATAATCACATGGTCTATTGTAAGTTTAATATTCCTAAGAATAGGAATAGCATTAAATCAACTGAGTAACTGAACAAAAACTCTAACAGGAGCGAGATGGATGCCAAGAAACGAGATGGATGCCAGTAACATAATAAGCAAATATGATAATAAGCAAAAATGCACCAGATAATCTGCTTTTGTTGTTCTGAAAGTATGCATATGAATATGCTATAGAGCTCTAACTATTCTTAAACAACTGCAGAAGTTTGCTTTCATATTACAGCATTTTGCTAAAAAAGCTTCCCTGTCAAATTATTGTAAATGCTTTTTAATCCTGAGGATTGATACGTCAAAGTAGTTAAAAGATTTCAATTCAGTTAGTTACACTTCTTTGCAGAATGATCAAGAGTCAGCCTCAGGAGTATAGTTTTATTCCTCGAACATGGATCTTCCCTGCAGAATACACACAGTTTCAGAACTATGTAAAAGAACTGAAGAAGAAACGCAGACAGAAAACTTTCATAGTCAAACCAGCTAACGGTGCAATGGGACATGGGTAAGTTGCATGTTAACTTCAGTCTTCTTACCCGTTGGAGGTGAAATCCAGTGCTATTTACAACATTAACAGAAGCTGTATATTAGTAAGAAGTTAAAGTTATACGATCAGTATAAGAAAGTTCGTGTATTGGATGAAGGCTTAACAAGCAGAAACAGCTAAAATATAAAGCTAAATGGAAGTGGTATTTTAATGTTGTTCTGAATGTGGCATAATTAAAGAATGCATTTTCTGATGAGGCTCAAATAATTCTTAAGATCAAGATTATTTTTATTGTGAATTTATCTAAAGAATATATTTATCAATCTGTTGTGCTTAGACTTACGGGGTGAGATTGTATTGGGCATAAATGGCAGGGTTTTGGTGGCTGGGGGCTGTGGGGGTGTCATGTGTGGGAGAAGGTCAGGATCTTCCACAGCTCTGAAACCCGCCCAACCACCCCATTGTGTGCCAAAACTGCAGCCAGTCAGAGAAGCACAAACCTATTTAAGAGTAGGAGCCATGAGGTCTTGGAGAAACAGAGGAGACACTGTTGGGGATGTGGCTGGAGGTGCACTCTTGGAAGGAGGTGACACCCATGCCCAGAGGAGGGACAGCCCTGCAGATCGTGCAACCTGCAGTTGAGTTGAAACAGCTTTGCCTGTGACAGGGCTGGACAGTAAAAAACAATGAGATAAATATTGCAATTTCATTCTCAACTCTGTTCTTGTTTTTAGATATTTCAATTTTAGCTTTTATTGCTTTTAATATCAATTTGGATTATACAGTAAAGTGCTTAGTTATTAAAAATATATCAGAATTACTGTAAAAATAAAGCCGCCAAACTTTTCAATCTCCTTATTTTTCAGTCCTTTTGATAAGGACAAAGATAAACTGAAGGGAAAGGTAGCAGCATATTTCAGAGAAATGCCTGGAAAGTACTTCAGTGTATGAGGAGTATTCAGCACCAGAACACTGAAATGCATCATAAATAATAGAGGGTAAGATTAAGGCAACAAAGCTATGGCAATTCAGGGTTAATAACGATACACTGAAAAATATTAGCTATTACAGTCTGTATAGTTAGGGACTGCCAGTTTAGGGTCTGTATATAAACCATTTTTCATTCCGATGTGGGGAAATCGGAATACAGAAATACTGAGCTTAATCTATGCCATCCTTAGTTGTACCGATCAGTGTCCTGCTTTGCAAACATTGTCACTGAGTCAGGTTAGCACTGAAAGTTCTTTGCAATCTGTACCTTGGGCAGAAGTTGTGACAAAGAAAGCCTGGAAGCCTATTATTTTTAGAGCTGCTTGGGGAAGAATAATCACAAAAGCTGGAGACTGGTAGTTCTGCCAAACAATTTCTAAGTGTAGAGGGAACCCATTATTACAAATTGTTGAATCAAAGGAAGCAGAAAGTTGTTTTGAAAATGGCTCATTGCCTTTTTTCATCCAGTAAAGCACCATAAAGGACAGGAAACCAAAAGCCATGTAAGCGAATGATACTTTTTCTCTACTCAACAAATCAGATATGTAAGTCTCTTCCTCCAGATAGACTTTAGCCTGACTACCTGGCTCGGTGACCATGAAAATCTGTTTTGAAGAGTAAGGTCAAAGTTCCATGTTTTTAAAATAACTTTTGTTTTTACCAGGATCTCTTTAATAAGAAATGGAGAAAAGTTACAAGCTCAGGATCACTTGATTGTTCAGGAATATCTTGACAAACCATTTCTTATGGAAGGCTACAAGTTTGATTTACGTGTGTATATACTTGTAACCTCTTGTGATCCATTAAAAGTATTTTTATATCATGACGGACTGGTGAGAATGGGCACGGAAAAGTATCATCCCCCCAGTGACTCAAATTTGGTAAGTTGGAGTTCATTCCAATTTATCTTATTCATGTAGAATTTTACCTGTGTAGTGTTTGGAGGAGGTAAAATAAAATAAACTGTGACATGAGATTTCATTTGGTATTTATCTGGATAAATTTTTGTATTGTCATTGAAGAGAAAAAATTTAAATGAAAGATATTTAACTCATACTTTTCTATCAAAATCACAACTATAGCTGTTATTATTGCTTATGTATAAAAATTTTGTATGACTTTGCATGTATGTATGCTAAAGAGTTTAAATATTTCCTAAAAGAAAGCAGATTATGTCAATTATTGACATTCAACCCAGAAAAAATGAAGTAAAGAAAATCACTTCAAGAACAGTTACATTGCTTTTATATTTATCTGAGACTCAGTTTGGGGTGGGGTAGGGGCGAGGATAAGGTTTATGTCCTGCTAGATCATTGTTTAACATCCCTGAAGTTTTGAGCTTCTGCTGAGGATCCTGCAACGTTTCAGCCATTGTGTTGGGAACCTATGCAGAAAACAGAAAAACAGCAGTATAGAAACCTGTGCACGAGAGTGGTCACTGCAATCCCTGAACGTGAGGGAATCTGCTGCTGGTGCTCTTTATCAGTGACTGCTTCAGCAGGGAAAGGAGTATGTACCTGACAACTTTAGGATGATACAGCAGGGCTGCCTATAAACTTGCAGAGAACCAAGAAATGGTAAGGGACATGCTAAAGTTTTTGGACACTTTAATCCTCCTGTTCACTGTATAGCATCTTCCCCTGTTGAGAGGTGTAATGCCTCTCTTCTGGCACAGACCAAAATGCAGATGTCTGTTAAGAAAGAAGTAGATTTGAAGCATTGGGAGGCATCAGTAAATTTGAGTTTCTTACACCTCACTCTGTACTCCGTTGCCACTGTATCTTTCCTTTTCCATACCATGTACTTTTAGAGCTGCTTCAGTGTAATTATCCAATAGACAGCACATGGAGAGCCTTTTTCCCTACTTGTCACTTAAAATTGTGGCTGTCTCTTAGTGCTCCTTTGAAGAATGCAGGTATAATTTGGAGCCCAGTACAAATGCTATATTTGGAAGAATTCCAGTATTATATTTGGAATAGTTTGCTTTTAATACTTTTTTATTGTTACTAATCTCAGCATTAGCAGCACTGAAATATGCTCTGAGCGGATAAACAGAACAGGCAGTTGTTTCTGTGTTCTCACAACTGTTCATGTTGTAGTTTGTCTATAGTATGAAATGACCTGGCTTATCACTAACGACATTGTTCTTTGGATGACATTGTTCCATAGTGACATTGTTCCAGATAACTTCAGACTAAAGATTAGTTCAGATGTTTAACAAATGTTCTAAAAACACTTCAATTTTTTTTGTAGTCTGAAAAGTAATTGCTTTTGTCTGAAATAATTTGAATTTCATGGAAAGATGACATTTATAATGACTCAAAAACAATAGGTTTCAGAATGATTCTCAAAGCAGTAATTGGAAGCCATGGGAGAAATTCATTACTTGTAGTGCTAATACAATATATTGTTAACTAGCCTGCAGTTAATTTGATTTTTTTTTTTTAATTTAATTAAGTTTTTTTAAACATAAGTAAGTGCACTGAGATAAATGACAGCAGAAGGCTTATGTTACCTGTTGGCTATCTTATCAAAAAGGAATTGGAACAGAAGGCTTATGGTCAGCTTAGAACATCAACTATACTCAAGTAAGGAATCAAACATGACAGAGAACTGTCACTGTGATGAAGATGGTCATCATGGTAGTGTAGGTGGAAAGCTGAATTAACATCTGTACTGGGAGATAATGTAAACATGTAAAAGGTGATTTATAAATTGGCCTTGGAAAGGTAATTTTTTTTTTTAATGCAACTGATAACGTGAATCTATTGCTGGTGACATTTTGCTCCATAAAGGAACTATGGCACTCACTCATTTATGTAATGCATATCTTGAAATTTACCTCCCTCTGATGTATGGCTACCAGCCAGTCAAAAATGAGCAATTTTGGCAGATATCAACACGGCAGATGAGTTTATATGTAAAAGATATTTTAAAGTATCACTATCATGAGAACATTTCTCATAAATAAACTACAGTGAAAACTGAAATGTGGGATTGTCTATGAAACAGATGCCAGAGTGTTTTTTAGCACTTTTAAAGTAGCACTTCAAAATACCATCTTTATTGTTTGCTTCTTGTGGAATGTAATCATTCTGTAAGTTATGATAATTGCTTTTCACTTTTTTAGGTAGTTGTTTACATACAGACCTGTAAAAATGGCAGATATATTGCCTAACCAGATGTTGAGTGGTAGATCAGTTGACTGCAACTGGCTTAAATACGAGCACAGGTTTTGTTACAAGAAGGCTAGAACATGCAGCAGATGAAATCTCCAAGAATCAGAAACACTAAATCTGCACATAGTGTTATTTGCAAATATGAACTGTTTCACTGTGTCATTATTGATTTAACCTATTTTTTTTCTTTTAATTATTTTGAATTGACCATTCTAGAATTGTATTTAAGGTTTTTTAATGTCTTTTCTCCCTTTTTTTAGAGTCAATTGTATATGCATCTGACTAACTACTCTGTCAATAAACATAATGAACACTTTGAACGGGATGAAACAGAAGACAAAGGAAGCAAACGCTCCATAAAATGGTTTACTGAGTTTCTAGAAACAAATAATCTTGATGTCTCCAAATTCTGGAGTGATATTTCAGTAAGATAAAACTAATACACTTTTCTTTATTTTGTGTATGTATATTCTTAGAAATTTAATTGCTTCTGCCATCTGCTTTACTGGAATCCAGAATGATTTTTGAAAGTTTATTAATCCAAATTCTCAGCAGTGCATGCCACAAAGACATACTACAAATGACAATTATGGGTTTTAAAAGGCTAAATTCAGAGTTTGATTACAAATTTAATGTTAAACTTTTTCTGAGGGACAAAAGCCCTTTCAAACAGGTTACATAAGTAATACAATACAAAGGAACCATCCTATTCAAATTCTTGGAGACTTTTCTTGAGTGTAAAGTGAATTTTATGTGTGAATATTTACAAAATTGTAGTCAGCATCGCATATGTCTGTGGACTGGAACCTATGCCACTGAAGTCAATGGTTAGTCAATCTTTAGGTGAGGAATAGGCCTAAGATTGTTAGAGCTTAGGCATCATCTGTATGTATGATTCTGAGAATATTTATTGTAAATTATATTGCAAAATGAAATGGGTAAAGATTTGCTATACTATACTTTGTTCCCAATATACCTTTAATATTTAAGATACTACACATCTAGAAGTACGTATGTACTATGGCAAGTATAACAATATACTCTAGAGCTATATGAAAAAAATGTATCTGTTTTACTCCACAGGAATAGTTTATTCATTAGAGACCATTTATTTGGTATTTTAAATCTTTTTTTTAGTAGATACTTTAATGAAATTTAAATTATTACAGTATGAAGCACATCATTAGTTCAATAATTACTGGTGTCTTCTCTCCTGATGAATTTTTCTGAAAAAAATCCCTACAGGAGTTAGTAGTGAAGACTCTCATAGTTGCAGAGCCACATGTTCTTCATGCTTATCGCATGTGCAGGCCAGGCCAGGCACCAGGAAGTGACAGTGTCTGCTTTGAAGTCCTGGGATTTGATATTCTGCTGGACAGAAAGCTAAAACCATGGCTCCTAGAGGTAAACTTCTTTAAACAAATGTAAAGTAAATTTTTAAGAGTAAAATTAACTAAGCCCCAGCTGAATTCATATCTATGTAAGAAAACTTCCAAAGAAAATCTGTGCATTGCAGGAGTACTGTTGTTGAGTACATAGATGGTGCTTTTTCTGCAGCCATCCATATGGAAACACTGCCTTGCAGTGATTTTTGGGACTCAGATAAAGGTAATTGTCTTCCTAGAGGAATGTTGCATTTCAGATGTTTTTGAAAGTTTTGATAAGAAATGTGACATTAATCCAGTTGTTATTGTAGCTGAAGGACCTTGTTTATAGCAATCGGGTGCTACGTAATTTCCTTCATGAGTATGGTTCTGGCAACTTTTGTGAATGAATGGTCTTAATTTTCTTTTTTCTGGGGATATGTGTTCTTTTCCTCTCCTGTGGCTTTAAAAAGCACCCACGTAAACAGAGAAAACTAATTCAGTGTAGACGAAATGCTGTCAAACAATTGGCGTGAATGGACTGGAAGAAACATTTCTCCTCTGACATGCTACCGGTACAGTTAAGCTTAAGTGGTGCTTGAATACATTTTGAACCAGGAATGTTTAAGGTTTGTCTATTGTGTCTCTTTAATTACACTATTAATAACACACATGGAGTTCACTTGTCTTCTTTCAGATTGTCTTATATCATTATGTTAACTGGTTGGGAGGCTGTACAGCTGGAAGAAAAAAGCAAAATGTATTAAAAATCTGTCTATTGACAATAAATCATGAATATGATTTGGCTACTGATGAGCAAAATGTACACAATTAATTTACTGAATTATAACCTTGTTCTCAGGCAATTATGCTGTCAACAGTTGTTTTGTTGTGCTTATTTCTCTCAGTGGTTCGGTATAATTTTAATTAGAAAAATACAAATTCCTTCACTGTTGCCATGCAGACATAGGCATATTTGCTGGCTTTGAAGTGCTAGCCAAAAGCAGAACATGCCATGAACTTAGTCTGTTACTGCATTGACATCTTCTCTTTTTGTTGAGCAAAGCCTACTGTCCCTTTAATTTAGCTCTACACTTCCAGATTGTCATCTATAGGTTGCCTGTAGCTTGCATATAAGTGTATGTAGTTGTTTAAGTACAGACTGAAGTTGGCCCGTGTATGCATTTCATCCAGCCTTGTAGCAAATGGTGACAGACCTCTTCTATGGGAGATGGTGAATCAACCTGTGTAGTGAGTCCGTTCTGAAGGACACCCCTCTATCTCCATGGATGTTTACATGCAGTATAGAGATTTTAGGGGGGTTGATTCACTGTTTATGATAACAGGTCTCAGAGGAGAATCAAACTATCCCAGATGCCTTGTTTGTGAGGGGGGGATCTCATAAAGTAGTAAATGCTGCTCTGGTATTTTGGGTTGCTGGAGAATAATTCAGGACTTGGAGTTGTGTACCTGGTTGTTGTTTTTTTTAAATACAGAAGTCTAATTATTTCCTCTTCTGCTTTTGGTGATACAGGTATCCTTCAACTTATTTTGCCAGACATTAAACTAACCTAACAGAAATTTCAAACTTTGAAACTTAGTAATTCAGTTTCTATACTCATCCACTAATTTTTACTGCGCTTGTTCATGTTTTTTGCAGCACTCTTAGAACAAACACACAGTATGTATATGTATGTACACTGTATGTATACTATATGTAGTGTAGTAAAGATCAAATATGCAGTGTGTATATATATATACACACTATACATAATGTATATACAGTGTGCATATGTATTTATGTATATCTATATATAATATTTTTTTTTTCCTAAACCAGTTCTGGCTTCTTCCCCAGCTTTCCACTCTTATCTTTTTCCACCATTTCCCTCTTGCCAAACCTCCCTTATGGGAGTGAATCATTCTCTCTAACAATGGTAACAAGTACTAATCACAAGGCTCCGAATGTTCCCAATGTTATGGGAAAATTGCCAAAATAAGATTAGCATGGTAAATCTAGTTTCATGTTTCCATAGCTCATGTAGCCTTTCTGTTGTAAAGACAGCTTAATAAACTATTATAAGAAATAAATTGTGTGACCTGATAATGACTCTGCTTTCCTGAGATGACTTTTGTTTATACTGCCCTGATGTGATGTAGCTCTCCTGCTCCTTGATGCTACTGAACTTCCGGAACCTTCTACCGAAGTGAGGGCTGTGGGAAATGCGTGATTGCCATCTTGTGGCACGAAATGTTTCTGGCAAGCATCTGTGCAGTCCCAGCAGCCTCCATCCTTTCTGAGTAGCAACAACTACCTAGAGCTCCCTTCCGTTCCCAGAAAATCCAGTTTTATTCATTTTGACCCAAATTTCCAAGCTAGGTTACTTTATGTACATAGGAAAATCATACAGTTGAAGTTCTTGGATGGACTCCAGCCTTGTTCAACCTCATTATATCCAGTTGGGATCACAAAGTTGTGATCCTTGGAGAAAAAGATCACATTTTAATAACTGCCTCAAGTGCAGGGTACCCAGCTTCCCTTGTGATTTATGTGGGTGAGAGAAACTCACCTTATATACAGATCCACAAATTTATTATTTAATGTAACTGAACTAGCAAAATCTATTCAAAACTTTGTTATCCGTCCAGTTAAAAGGACTTTGGACATCTTAGGTCAAGGTATCCAATTATTGCTAATTCCTATTAATAAAGGAGTTAAAGCTCTCATATACACAAGCTCTCTGGTATCTAGTCCTATCTCTTGTATTATGCTTACCCTGCCTGTGCCCTGGGAGATCCAAAGGCCAACAAGGGGCAGGAGAGGTCCACTTCTCCAAAAAAAGATGGGTAGGTGCTTATAGAAAGTTGTCAGTGTCTTGTGTTCTTCACCAGGAAGAACACACTGTTGATGGTGACAGTTTCTTCCTCTTTGCTCTTAGCTTCACTTAGGGTTGTTTTTACTCATTTGCTGCCACTGTCTACTTACTGACTGTTCATTCACTGGGCAGCAATTTTGCATTGTCTCCAAGTTTTACCATAAGCGGTTTGTTTTATTTTTCCTGGATTCTGCTCTGTGTTCTCTTTGTTATCCCGAAACCCACTGCTACCTAGTTCACAAGGCTGCATTCCTGTAGTGAACACTCCTTGGCCGCTGTGATTGGTGTATATCTCAGAGTCTCTGGATTTTCAAGGCCTTCGCTGTCATCATTTGGTTGTACTTTTGGGGCCCCTCATGCAATCCTCTTTCTGCCAACAATCTTCAAGATGTGCCTTCCTGATAAAATTACTGATGTTATATTAACACAACCCAGTCATGTGTATGTCCTGGTTCTCGGGTCACTGAACTCTAAATAATCATCTCTCAGCAGACAGATATATATACAATGCTTTGGTAACCAGTTATTATGAACACCTATTGTGACAGTATCACTGGTACATTTTCAAGATTACTTTACAACACTGCTGTCTTACAGATTAGTCAGCAACCATATTTCTTGTCTGGAAACAAGGGATAGCCACATGAAAAATAAGGGACAGTACTTTCTTTTAAGGGATGTTTTAAGGGAAAAGCAATTTTCTTAGCATAGTGTTTTTGCCTAAGTCTTCTCAAGATTTCTCACCCATGATCCCATTTGACAAAGCAAGGCACTTTGTTCCATATAGCCAGTATATGGGGATAGAGTTAATTTTCTTCCTAGTAGCTGGTGTAGTGCTGTGTTTTGGATTTAGTATGAGAATAATGTTGATAACACACTCTTGTTTTAGTTGTTGCCAAGTAGCGTTTATACTAGTCAAGGACTTTTCAGCTTCCCATGGTCTGCAGGTACACAAGAAGCTGGGAGGGAGCACAGCCAGGACAGCTGACCCAGACTGGCCACAGGGCTATTCCATACCATATGACGTCATGCCCAGTATATGAACTGGGCGAGTTGGCCAGGGGGGCAGCGATCACTGCTGGGGACAGGCAGCGGGTGGCGAGCAATTGCATTGTGCATCACTTGTTTTGTACTCTCTTTTATTGTTGTTATTATTATTTTCTCTTCCTTTGCTGTCCTATTAAGCTGTCTTTATCTCAACCCGCGGGTTTTACTTTTTTTTTTTTCCTGATTCTCTCCCCCATCCCACTGGGGCTGGGGGGAGGGTGAGTGAGCAGCTGTGTGGTCCTTAGTTGCTGACTGGGGTTAGACCTGAACAGCCCCTTACATGAGTAAAATTATGTGCCGAATATATAGGGTAATGGTATTTGCATTTCTTGTACTACTTAGACTACAGCCATGAGGAAATACATTTCAAATGTATCTCATTGTATTTCATTGGCACTTGAATTGTTCCTGTGATACCATTTTTCATAAAGTTGCTGCATAAATGTAATCTTTTTTGTTTGAGATCAAGTTCTGCATCTCAGTCAGCAACATGACTTGCAGAAAATGACCAACCTTCAGCAAAATTAACCAGATTCAGTCACACCTTATCTCTCTCAAAGTGTTGAGCATGCGTCAACAATGTGTACTTACAGTGATGTTGGCTAACTGGACCTGCAGGTTGATGGCAATGATCTATTTGGCACCTGGGAGGCCACATCTGGAATATTCTGTCCAGTTTTATCCTCCAGAGTAAGGGAGAGACATTGGCAAACTGTGGTGAGTTTAGCAGAAAGGTGCTACGGTGCTTCGGGGCTGGAGCACATGCTGTATGAGGAGGAGCTGGGTGAACTGGGTTTGCTTCACCTGGAAAGGGAGGGCTTTGTGGGATCTAACTGCAGGCCTGAAGTGGGCTTTGAGAGAAGACAAAGTCAGTCTCTCCTCAGAGATGCACAGTGAAATGGCTGGAAAAATTCAGGAATAGTGCAGAGGGGCATGATGTGGAAAGGTTCCCTGAATGAAGAAAAACAGAATAAGAGAAACAAATACCTAGAAAAACTTTCTGCATGATCTTTTGGGATTTCTGTCATTGTTTCGAAATAGTGAAACACGTCTCTTGCTGATGCTCTGATAAATGCACATAGATGACTATACAAAGCAAATATGCTGCAAATTACTT